GCTGCTCCCCGCTGTGCGCGTCCTCCTCCGTGGCCCCGCTCTCCTCGGCACATCCCTTGTGCTGGGCCTTCCACCATGAGGAAACCCCCAGGCTGCCCTGCGTGGGGCTGAGGCACCAGCAGTGCTAAGGGGCCTGGAGCAAAGGCTGCTCCAGCGCTGAGGCGGTCGCGGGCCTCACAGCTTCCTGAGAGCCCAGCCTGGGCTCTCAGCCCGAAACCCTGCTTCAAGCGGACTTTTGGAGACCGTGCTCCTCCTAAAGCTGTTGGCAGTGAATGGTGCTCTCCTCCCAGAGCTCCCTGCTAGCATTTGAATATCGCTGTCACAGCAGCGCTCTGCTCCGAGGGCTCTGTCAAGCACCGAGGCTGCAGGAGTCAGGCTGCCCCCCTCTCCCTTGTCCTTTCCCCAGGCCGCTGCACAGCAGCAGCTCCCGCGGCTGCAGAGTCCTGCAGTGCCTGGATGTGCTGAGGCTGCAGAACATAACTCCAAATGGCAAAGGGAAGACTTTTTATAGCTCGTGAACTCCAGCGCTACTGCAAGGCATGGGCTGTCTAAAAGCAAGAGGCCTGAGCACTGGCCACCCCCCCCCAGGTGAGACTTGGGACCTTCAGCAAATGCTGTGAGGGTGCACAGGGACTCGGGTACTGCCAGCAGCGCATGGTGCCAAAGAAACCCACACGAGGAGGGATGCACAAAGCACTTCCACAGCAGAGGAGCTAAACCTTGAAATGCAAGTCCAGAATTTCTGGCTCCTGCTGCAGCTCCAGGCAGGTGCTGGCAAGAGCTTAGAAGCCAAGGGGTGAGACTGCAATGTGCCAAGGGAGGAGAGCTCAGAGACCCTCTTTCCTGTATGAGCCTCATGTCTAAACACTGGGATTGCTGAAGCACTTCAAGACAAAGAGAACCAGAAGTTGTGCCAGCCCTGCAGGAAAACACTGGACTTCCTTTATCCTCCCTCCAACCTCAATAAAGTTCCCCATTAGAGGAAAGCGATGCTGGCGACTTTCCGGACGATAGCTCAGTTGAATTTAAAGGTCGTAGGGTGCCTAGTGAGAAAGCGTGTCTAATAAAAGGCACAGAAACAACTGCAGTGCCAGCAGATTAAATTCCCCTAGCAAGAGGCTGAGGCAGAGGGCTAAGAGTCCTGCAAAGGTCACTCAGTATGAGGTGCATTTCAAAGAAAGACAAGTCCAGCAAAAGCAGTTGGGAAGAGACAAATAAAACAACACAGCATGTCCCAAGAAGCCAAGACATCAGAGAAGGGGAGCCCTGGGGTGCGTTGGGGCACAGTGGGGCCCTGGCCCAGCTCCTGCAGGCCCCAGGTGGAAGAGTTTGGGTTCTGTACCCGGTTCAACAGTGCAATCCCAGCCCTCTCTGGGCCTGCAGCCACACTTTAACACTGGAACCGCTGCTGAGAACAAGCAAGTGGGACACCGTGTTACGTTGTGATTGAACAGTGACCTGCAGGGGCATTCTTGCTGTTTCTGGGACAGCACACAAAGGTGCAGCGCCAGGAGGGAACTGACAGTGCCCTGTTCTGCTCTCTTAGCAAGTCCAGCAGGCACCAACCCAAAGACAATGATGCAACGGAGCCACAGAGCAAAGAGCGTGTCTCCCCTCTCCTCTCTGAGTTTATTATTATTTTAAATGTTCGTAAAGTACACTGCTAGTCAGGGACACAGCGGCACTAGGACCCGGAACGGGGGTGGACAGCGAGACCTGCAGCAGCTCTGGCCAGCACGGACAGGGGTCAGTGAACCGCTGGCCACGCTGGCCTGAGCAAACGCGAGCAGAGCGAGTGAGCTCCAGAGGCTCAGGGAGGCACGTGGCACCCGGCCGGACAAGGGGCGAGTTTCAAAAAGGCACAGCACGAGGCATGAGACCTCTGTCCTCTGCTGTGATGCTGGAGGTCTCCTTGTACCTCTTGTGGATCACATGGCCATTGCTGCCCCTTCTGCTAGCGGGCAGCTTCCAGCACCCTCATGGGAGGGAAAGTAAGTGCAGAACCTGTTTTCGCAGCTCCTGGAAAGCCACGCGTAGAAGCAGAGAGCGGAGCAAACCAGAGAGAAGGCAAAAAGCTGCTGTGGATCCTTCATCTAAAAGCAACATGGCCCGACTGCTGAGCCAGGTACGCTGCCAAGGGTTACGCAGCCTGCCAGCTGCTCAGAGAGACTTCGGGGCAGTTGGTCCCTGCATTGCCAAAGCCAGCCAGAGGACAAACCGATACGAGGGAGCAACCATCCGGGGACAGCCAGCAGGCACAGAATTAGCACAGGCAAACCTGTGACAACAGGGGAGTTCCCCCGGGTGCAGGGGCCAGGTTTGATTGAGCAAAAAAAAAGTAAATAAACAAGTTTTGAAGTCTCACTCTGGGGCTTGCCCTTACACGCGAAGCGTTCGTACCCTGCGGCAGGAGCAGCTGGCGGTGGCAGGGGAAGCAGCACATGGCAGGGTGGCAAAGAATGAATGCTCTGTGCTCCTGAGAAAGAAGAGTGATCCTTAGCCCCGTCAAAAGTCCTTAGGAGCTTCACTCACCCTGGTGCAGCCTGGCAGGGGTCCGTGCCCTCTCCACGGGACAGCTAAGGCAAAAGCAACAGCAGCAAGCAGGAAAGGGCTGGGGTCATGCAAAGTGGCCCCATGGGGCTGACAGCAAAGCTCATCCTCGCAGGCAGTGCCTCCTGCACGGCCCAAATGGATCAACGTGACCTGGCAGAGTCCCTCTGAGAGCTGAATCCATCCCAGCAAGAGAAAGTGAAAGGAGGGAGAGGCTCAGCCCCGCTCAGGGCAGTCCCCAGACAGCAGCAGAAGCTAAACGAGTCCTTCAGAGGGAGAGGAGATCAGCGGGTACCTCTGTGCAGGTGCCAGGCTCAGGTCGGCAGTGTCCAGGGCTGAGAAGGGGAACCTGTGCCCGCTCTGCAAAGGCTCCCAGGGGCTCCGGACTCCTTGCAAAGCTGCAGCAGCACAGCAGGTTGGTGCGGGCAGGAGCTCTCTGCTCATCTCGGCAGGATCGGTGGCTTTGCAGGCAGAGCCCGCTTACATGTGCTCGGGGTGGTTCTGGAGGCACTTGATGACATCACTGACAGGTTTGCCCTCGTAGCAGATCTCATACACAGCTGTGAAGAGGGGGAACCTGCGGGCAGATGAATAAAGTGACCCCCTGCGCTGTCACCAGGGCTGGCAGGGTCAGAGCACCTCAATGCTGCTGTGACACACAGGACCACTGGGCAGGAGCAGGTGGGACAGTAGCAGGGTCCCCCATCCAAGAGGCCATTCCTGCCCAGCTGCTTGCAGGGCAGAGACTCACCTCAGCAGCACAGATGCTACGGGGAGGGTTGGGTTTCCACAAGATCCCACCCCAAAAGAGCAGGCAGAGATGAGAGCACTCACTTGTCCACTGCATTCTTGCTTTTAAGGATGTGATGCAGCTCAGCAGACGTCTGGGGACCCTGCAGCTTCTGCCCATTCAACATCTCCTTCTCCAGCTGCTCAATGGACTGAAACAACCCAAAAGTGAGGGGGCTGGACCCCGCAACCCCAGCCACCACCACGTGTTCCTCCTCTGGAGCCAGGCTGTGGCACTGGGCGAGGGAAGGCAGGGTACGATGGTGCTAACTGGGTTCCTGCCCAGCAGCTCGATGCAGGGATCAGTGCTGCCTGTTCCCCTCTCTGCTCACCTTTCCAGTCTTAGCAAAAGCCTCAGCCACTTTGCGGTTGCGGCCACCGTAGCAGGTAGTGATGAGGTCGGCGACCCCACAGCTCTCCAGGAAGGTGGAGGAGGTGACGGGGCCCTTACAGAAGAGTTTGGAGAAGGAGATCATCTCCATCAGTCCCAGACGGATCACAGCGGCCTTCGTGTTGTCTCCATAACCAAGCCCGTCACAGAAACCGGCTCCTACAGCCACAATGTTCTGGAAAACAGCAGCGTGGAAGGATCTGTTCCCGATGGAGCTCTGGCCTTTGCTGTGTCTCTGAGCTGCTTCGTCGTGCAATACCCAGCGGGGTTCATTCAGCTCGCAGCCCCCTCCCCAGAGCTCCCTGCAGAGCCCCAGATGCTGCTAACCAAGCCCTGCAAACCCCCGTGAGCGGCTCACCCACCTTGAGAGCCCCGCAGATCTCTACGGTGTCGGCTTCCTGCACCACCGTCACCCGGAAATTCGGTGTCTGCATCAGCTCCTTCAGCACCTGCCCATGCTGTGGGTTCTTGCAGCCTGATGAGACAAAGGGAAGAGGAGGAGGAAGGTGAGGGAGGAAGGCCCTAAGGTAGGGCCATGCTGCTCCTCTGCCCAGCGGTGCGTTCCTGCAGCACAGCCCTTGCAGCGAGAGGAGCCTATTGCCCAACCGATGGATGTTGCTAAACGTTTGCAGGTCCACAAAGCGCCAAGCACACATTGCCTGGCAGATAAGCAAGGCTCAACCTTGGAATTCCCAGAAGATGGGGACGACCCCTACTGCTGCGTGGAGCAAGGCAGCACTGACACGCCCAGTGGAGGAAAGGCACCTTTAAAGGTTGCAAATCTGGGTTTAGATGGCTGTTCTCCCTGGTGTCCTGTGTGAGAGCGTTTCTGCATGCACACAGACAGCACGCTCTGCTCGTACCTCCCTGGTCTCTGCAGCCTCCTGCGCTGCGTGTTTGCTTTTGTTTAAAACACAGACACTTTGAATCCCATAACTTCTAACCCAGCGAGCCGCCGCTGTTGGATTTGGCTGCTGCAACTCACAAACAGCGTGGAGGTGCCAGGAACCAGACGAACATTCAAACAGCCCTGGCTGGTAATAACGTGAGATCCAGGTGAGCGAGCCTTGAAGGCCAAGGAAATGAAGGTAGGAACTCCATTTCTAAAGGGTCCGTGCTTTCAGACACACAACTGTTTTTAACAAAGCGAGCAATCACGTTGTAAACCCTGTGAATGAGATCCTCCAGCTCCTATGGAGCCTCACTGCCTCTGCAGGGAAAAAGGCAGCAGTGGTTTAAGCTGCACCGTGCTCACCCCTTTGCCCCTTCCTGCTCGTTGGAAACAAAGGCTGCTAACGAGGAGGGAAGTTTTGGCTCCTTACCGATGGTTGTTTCACAGAACTTCTCTTCTGCCACTTCATTCGCAATGTTGGCCCCCATCAGGACGCTTATCTCTATTCCCAGTTTCTCGTGGATGATGTCTGAGATCAGCCTGAGCCCATCTGGTCCTTCATCCACCCCCTGAGAGGCAACCATGGACAGAGATGAGTGCCTGACCCCCAGGACCTGCCCCCCTGCCCCAATCCTGCCATTCCCTGTGCTGCAATGCTCCGACTCCCATCCCGACAGCCCCCTCGTTGCTCAGCTGCACCCCACTCCTCCCAGCACTTGAGATCCCCACAAAGACTCTGCCTCCACTTCCCAAGCCCCTCCCCTAACCCTAAATCCCAGTTTCTGCTCCAAAACCCCCAGATTCCCTTCACAGCCTCCCCACACCAGGCTGCTCCTGGCTGGGTCCCTTCGTCCCAGTGCCCCAGCAAGCTCCTCCTCCTGCTCACACCTTGATGAGCGACATCCCAACGGCGCCTTTCTTCACGTGGCCCTTGAGCTGGTCACAGATTTTGCCAATAAACTGGTGGGGCACCACAAACAGGAGGATGTCAGCCCCAGCACAGGCCTTCAGCAGGTCTGGCTCTGCTACCTGAAGAGAGCACGGCTGGCATCAGGGACTTGTGCCCGAGCGTGTCCTGAATATGAGACAAGGGGGGGCAAGGGCTTGAGAGCAGCTGCTGGGGGCTTCCGAGCAGGGAAGGGCACAAAGTCACTGCCCTGAGGTCCTGGCAGGGCAGAGGGGTTGGAGAAGGGCAAAGCAGCTCCAGTTGGTTCCACGGACGTGGTGCAAAGAGCCGGGGTGGTTCTGGGGATCTCAGCAGCTGAGGGGCCGAGCATGCGGCTGCGGACTCTGTGCGCGGCCGATGCCAGCGCGGAGGCAGCCACATGGCCTCGAGCCCAGCCTGCGGATGCCAGAGCCGGGGCGAAGGTGGGCAGTGAGAGCGGCCAGGGCTACAGCTCGCCCAGGCACGGATCAAGGTCACCAGGAAGGTGTCACCGAGTCCGGGTGCAGCCCGGGGCATCCCCTACCTTCACACCAGGGCTCCAGCAGCTCCCAGCACAGCCATTTACCCCTCACCAGCGCCCCACTGGCAGCACTGGCCCTGGTCACCAGCGGGCCACACTCACCACGTTGGGGGGCAGCTTGTGCCCTGGCAGGTACTTGACATTTTCATGCTCCGTGTTGATGATCTCAGTGAGGCGCCGGCCACCCACCTCTTCCTCCAGCACCCACATGTTCACCTGGTTCTCAAAGGTGCTCAGCCGTGCCGCGTTGCTGCCGGCGATCTTGGCGATGGCCGAGCCCCTGCGTGGGCAGAGCAGAGCTGTAGACAGCAGGCACCGAGGATCCCGGTGCACCACAAATCACCCACGTAAGGGGTCCTGGGGAAACGGGGACGGCTCGCACTGGGGGGTGTGGGGAAGACGAGGACCGCGCTGTGCTCAAAGAGGGGACCCGGGAGCCCACGCTCACCAGTTGCCAGAGCCCACGATGCAGACTTTCTTGCCACCCATGGTTGCAGGGAGCCGGGGCACTGCGCAGTGCTGAGCCTGCTGCTGGTATTTCAAGGCCACCCGGGGCAGGGGCGGCCCCGTCCCGCCTCCGGCCCCGCCTCACCCCCGGGGGAACGGGGCAGCCGTGTCCCGGCGCTGGCCGCTTTCCTGGGCACTGCCGGTGCTCACGGAGGCAACCCCGGGCTGTGCTGCAGGTGCAAAGAGCTCAGATCCCAAATCTCCACAGAAGCAGCAGCCACGACTGCAGAGCCTCTCCTCCTTCTTCTGCATAAAAGCATTTTATTGCCCCCCTCTTCCTAAAAATTGTGCTTCCCACCCCTCAAAGTAAGAAATATGAACCATGTTGTTGCAGACCCAGGACACAGCTCCTGCCTCAAGCAGCAGCACAGCCCGATAGGTGGCAAAAGACCCTTTCTTCTGCACACAGAGGATACCCCCCTTGCACCGAGGGCTCGCTGGTTTTCTGTAAAGCATTACGTTTCTACTTGCAGGCAGGGTCAAGAGTGTAGTGCCCCTTCTGCACACTTTTCAGCCTTTGCACGTGAACTTTAATACGGTTTCCTCAAAATTACGCCCAGCTCCCGTGGGGCTTGTAACATTTCTGCAAGGCAGCAGAGTGTGGAAACCAGGCTGTCTCGATTTTATCAGCAGCTCGGCCACTGCTTTTGCAGTTTTGCTCCAGTTACTTCGTTTACCACAACAGCACTTTTTGCAAAGGCTTAACAGACTCTGCAAGCCAGGAGATCCTGACATGAAAAACTCTCTATAAAAGGCTAAAATATGATAAACACTTTCTCTCCCCTCTCTTAACCCAGTTGGCTTTGTTTAAAGAAACAAGAAGTGGAGATAATCCCATCCCTTCCCAGGCAAGAACATGAACTGTCATCCACCAAGGCAGCTGCTGTCAGCGCAGGAGGGAGGACAGATTCCTTCACAGGAGGCTTTTATTAAAACTGGGTGATGTCTACAAGGATACAGTACAAAAAAAAAAACAAACCCATTTGGTCCATGGAAAAACCTGTAATATTCAGTTAAGAAAAGCAGTTAATCTGCAACAGCTATGCTTGCCTACGCCGTACTCAGCATCCTTCGCGTGTGATTGCCCTGAGGAGTCAGTGGGCTGCTTCATCAGCATCTTCACCCCAGTACCAGAGGAGCCACTTCATAGGGGGGCAAAGGAGAAGGGACGCCGAGTCTATCACTCACAGACACGTAGTAACACAGACACGAGTAGGGCCACCCAAGCTCTTTCACTTTCCCAACCACACCACAGCCGGGTGTGGGGACGAGGGGTGTTTGGCAGTAAGAACATTTTGCGGCTATTCCAAGAGAATATGACCAACTTTCAAGTCCACTTGCATGTCAGTCCCGAGCAGAAATACCGAGATCAGGTTTAAGAGAAGCCGTTCTCTTACACCTGACCTCTAGTTCACTAGTAATTCATCCACGAAGAGGCATCCAGGCTGCTGCTCCCCACGGTAAGAGAAAGAATCCTATTTGTACATTCCTGAACCATGCTGGGTCCTATGGCAGCCTCAGAACCTAAAACTTGACTAAAAACCACAGGAGCTTCAGCATGGAAACATCTGCTACCTCGCCTATGCCTGGAGCTACACCCAAGGGCTGTCCTGTTATGCCCTCAGATCCACACGAAGGAGCCTCTGGTCCCCACAGCGAGTGACACAGGGTAACTGTTGTGCCCCCACACAATTGCACCAGGCAGTTGTTGCATCCCTTCTCTCTGCTACAGGGAAAAGCAGCAGTCGGATGGCTCGCTGAATTTTAAGTCTTTTGAAGTGAAGTCTCACCACTCCAATGCTTCCACATCCCTGCAGTAAGCCAATGTCTCGCCTCCCCCATGATCCCAGTCTAGGACAGCGTCAGGGAACACGAAGGGAACAGAGGAAGAAGCAATTCTCTACACAGTCCAGTAACGTCCTCAAGGAGGAGCAACCTATGAGGCAGTCCAGTGCAGCAGCACCCTCAGAGCGAGGGAGTAAGGGCAGGGAGGTATTTCAGCTCACAGCATCCTGCCCATTACGTCTCCTGGCACCTTGCTATAAAGTGAGGCAGGGAAGAGATGGGCCACAGAACTCCACCTTCACAGCAGGTCCAGGCCTCCCAAAGCCAGCTCTCGAGTGCCAGAACCAGATGCTAGTTGGGGAAGCATGGGCTGTGGTTTCCAAATCTGATGAAGGCTCCAAGTCAGCAGTCACTCTGGCTACTGGGGACACTACAGGCAGTGTGGAGTCGAGGGGAGGCTCTGGGAAGCCTTAGGACTGACAAGGCAACAGTCAGGAAGAAAACCAGGTAGAAATGTGTGCTTGTTGGAGTCTGTCTGCTCGCCACACCCCAGAAGGCCCCGGACATCCTGGAATTGTCCCAACAGGGACAACACCAGGATGAAAAATAATGTGGGCCTTGCTGCTGGAGTGGGATTATGTGAGCCTTAAACAATGTCCTCTGCAGAGCTGTCTCCACAAATAGCAGTGATGTCTTCTGGCTGGGGAGGAGCGGAGCAGCCTATGTGTTACGGATGCCCAGGGCCTGCTCCAATTCCTGCCGTCTTTGCTGCACCTGCAAGAGGAGCCAGACCCACAGCATTAACATACTGAGATCATGCAGCACCACAGCATCTCAGTAACACAGGACCCAGCTGGAAAAGGGTGAGCTCAAACTGGGACCGAGATGCATCAGCAGTGTCTACAAGTGGAGCTGAGCACTGCCCCTTTCCAGCAGCGCCGTCTGCCCCTCAAGGAGTGACAGGAGCTCAGTGCCACAGGGTACAGAGGGGGATCCCTGCACACCTTGGAGTAGAAGTATCTGCAAACGGCTTCCTGAGCCCACGGCTGGAAGTAGAACTCAGCTCTCCGCTCCTCTTCAGGATTCCCAACCACATCAGTCATTGTCTGGAGAGCACAAAGGACAGAAGAGTTCAGGGAGTGCAAAAGCTGTGGCTGTGCTGAGCAAACCCACCCCCCTCCCCTGTCCTCAAAGGCATTTCAGTACAGTCAGGTCAGGCTCTTATGCTCAACTCCAATTCTAGTCTCGCTTTCCGAGCAGGAAATTGCCTCTCTGTCTCTGTGGGAGCTGGTTATAATGAGGGAAGCGTGTGACTGGATCCACCTTCTCCACAAGACAAAGCTTTTACCTTTAAATCTCGGCACTGGGACTGTAGCCAGTCGTTGATGAAGCCCTGAGGATCTCGGGCAAAGCTCAGCATGAACTCCCGCTGGGTCTTCAGCTGGTTAATTGTCTCGATTGTTTCGTGAATCTGAAAGGGATAAGCACAGCAACCAAACTGCTGAATAGGGGAAAAAGTCAGACAGAAACAACAAGAGACCCAGCACATGAAGGTGAATTCTTATATTCCCTGCTTGACTTATGCCCATCAGATCAGATTTTTCAATTCCTAGTATCCTGCTCTAAATATTACCAGTTTTCCCACTGACCATTTGCTCTAAAACTACCAGGTAAAGCCACCTATTTGTAAGCCTGGCTGACCCCACTCCAGCTTCCAAATGCACAACAGAGCAAAGCTGAACCCCTGTCCTGCTCAGGGCTCCCTTGCTCCAGAGAAATTCCTGCCCAGACACAAGGGCAGACCTGAAGGAGCTCTTCCTACCTTGTTATCCAGAGCAGCAATTTCCTGTTGACTGGCTGTGGACAGCAGAAAGGAATTCATCTGAGTTTTCAAGGTATCATCCACCTCCACGTCGATGTCATAGCAAGCAGTTTTCTTCTGGTCATTTGGGTCAACACTAGGGACAGCCACAAGAAAGAAGCCAAAGTAAGTGAACAGCTCAAGAAAGCACCAAATTGTAGCTCCTGTAGGTGTAATGTGAAGGACAGCATGAACGTGGGAGTGCCTTGTGGCACAGAAGGATGCGGTAAATGAAAGAGGCCGCTGTTCTTTTACGGACAAACAAAGCCAGGCAACACAGGAACTGCTGCTGAAAATCAGAGCGTATTAAATCCACTCTTCTTCCCAGAAACAAGAAGTCAAGTGGAGCAGGCTCACCTGATCACATGATTAATGATGATCGGCTCTGGTGGCATGAGCAAGGCGTGGAGTCTTTGTGGGATTTCAGAGAACTTCATCCGCTGAGATTCAAATATCTGCGACAGAAACACAGGGCTGAGGAAAGGAAGGAGCTCGGCGCCAGCAATCTCTTGGCTGCTGACTGGGGCACGCTGGAGCAGTGGCTTGTGCCAGCCACGCCATTACCTGCTGCAGGTATTTGTCGCAGATGACGTACTCCCGCTCGTGGGGGTCCTGCAGCTTGTGGGTCTTGATATATTGCCACAGTGCCTGGATGATCACTGGGCGGGTCTGAGTGTGAATCCCCAGGAGACGAGCCAAGCGGGGATCCAGTTTGAACTGGGGAGGCTGAAACACAAAGCCCAGCAAGGTGAGATGGCCGCAGCCACAGCCAGCAGCACAGGCCTGCCGTGGTTTAGCCCACCACCATCTCACCTGGTAATCCAGCATCAGGAGGACAGTGCAGCGCACGTTTACATCTCCTGGCCTCTTCACCTGGAAGCCATCTGTCTCCTGAGTTGTAGCAGTCCTGTGCCACTGAACAGGAGAGGGCATTTATAGAAGCACATCTGGTTCCCTTTGCTCCTGCCGCTTGGCATCCCACAAGCTTTGCCAGTAAATCCCACCCACGCCTAGCGAAAGTTCGCCTTATTCCCACTTACAGCTTGAAACAAGAGTTAATACATTTGTTCAGACCCCCAGCAAGTCAGAGGGAAAGCTAAGGTAAGGATTCAAGAGCTCCTGGCTCCCAGGTGCTTGTTCAAGCTTTAAGTATCCCCACCCTATCTGCTCAAACACCAACCCATTTTGAGAGGTAACACAGCAAAAAGAAGCTCACCTCTACTAGGTGATTGTCAGGGCCATACAGGTCTTTATCAAGCTCAATGACCAGAGATTTAAAGAAGGATGAGAACTTTCTTTTCTGCTTGGTGGCATCATATTTGGACAGAGCAGACTG